CGTCCAAAAGCCGCAATGACGCAAAGCGGCATCTCGCCACTGTCCACAGCGGCAAGGAGTATCTATGCCCAGCATGCGACAAGTCCTTCAATCGCAGGGACGCCTTCAAACGCCACTTTGAAGGCAAGACAATGGGGGCCTGCAGGGACTTCATGGTCAGCACGCTGCTGCCGACGGAGACTCTCAAAACGGTCGATGTCTCTCGTTACCTTTTCGTGGTCGACCTTTGATGCGTCGGTGGATGTTGCTCTGGATAATTTATTCTTATTGTATGTGTTGTGTCGGACGGTCCCCTATGTATCTATCACGGTCACATATATCAGTGCCTGCAGTTGTTGTTGTACCACGCGTAATTCAAGGATGAAGTCATCAGCGATACCACATGGCGAGATGTTCCAAATGAATACACAGGACTTTGCGCGTTCTGTCATGTTGTGCAACGGCAGGTCGCCAACGACATGATTGTAATTATTCTGCCAGGGCTGATCACGCGTATGTACATGTACATGAGGTGCCAACAGCGCATAGCAGAGCGGAGCGACTACGACGAATTTGGTACAATCCAATGTGCCGTCATCGTTACAAGCTGGCAACAGCATGATAAGCGGAGGCAGACCATGCAGGTCCCATGCCCGGCCAGACTCGGATGACTCTTTCCGTACCGTGAGGAGGGCCATCGACGAGTCTAGAGACGGGAGGGCTAGACGATCTGCCTTGATTCCTCATTTGACCGGTGTCCGTCCGCTGGCAAATGTGTGAGCGTCGCCGAGACGGGATGCCTCGCTCTCCGCCCGCCATCATCTGACCTCAGCTGTCGCGTCTACGAAAATCGTTATCACAGGAGTGCATCTGATGCCATTCGGGACATGATGCGATGGTGGACGTCTAGTCTGAGCACAAGGCCTCTCAGCGGCGTGAACTGGTCCAATACAAAGTTGTACTCACAGCAGATCAAGACGAAGATGGTCCGGTCCCGCCTGGAGATTTGCGGCGACTTTACAACCGTTGGTCCGCTACATGTCTACGTCTACGGTGAAACATCAGCAACACGACGAAATCACATTCCTAGCCTCTTTGTGCTGCCGAGATCACTTGTTACGCAAGTGGCAGAGACGCCTGCCTGGCGTGGTCCTCACATCGATCATTGTATGATCGAATGGCTCGCATATCTGCGCATTAGCATCTGAGCAAATCTGGTGAGACTCGATCTATGAAGTCCACAGCACAGCATATGTGAGTGCATGTCTCGCTGCAATATCTCGGGATTCTTGAGAAGCACCACATGCAGGCCAAAGCGGAATTCGCTTGAGCTAACTGGTACGTACCACCCACTGTAGATCCCCTCTCCACATCGAATCTGCCTTTACGCAATAGAACGCGCTTGCAAGATCCATCGGGAGCGTCGCGGAGTAGGATCGATAGTGGGGATCTCCGAGTGATCATGAAATCGCCTCAGCCACCGCCGATGTGGCGTATCCATCATCCATAATCGCGGCAGGTGGACACCTTGTGAGCTTCCATCCAATACGAGACACAGTCAGTGTCGACGAACACACACGCGTGGTGATCAGACTAACCTATCACTCCGTGTCCTCTGTTCACAGAGGTGTGGCCATGGAACCCCGGGGTATTGGAGACCAAGGATAGCCGAATGAGGTCTCGCAGTATATGTGTGAGCCGAGGACAACGAAGGATTCAGAACGTACAAGGACTGGTTGATTATCCTCAACAGCAAATTGACGACAAGTGACATTCGCCTTGCGACATTGATGTTGTGAGACCTTCTCCATGCTCACTATGTAAGCATCTTCATTCTCCATCACGAGCAAGGCTCAAGATGTGCTCCTACAACACAAGCTGATGTTGCAAATTGATACAAATGAGTTCCACGCCGCAACATCGAAGTGTAAGCAACTCACAGGTTGGAGGCCTCGCCAATGTTGATGTGATCATTGCAGTCACAAGCTATAAGTGATGAAGTATTGACCATGCATATGCACATAGTCCATGTTGGTCCGTAACGATTGAGCACGTAATTGTAGGGAGCGCCACAGAAGCCCGCAATGAACGGCGCTGGTCGAGTTTGCAGTTATAGAGGTTGAGTGATCGCAGTCGACGGTCACAGAAGTGAGGCTGGCTGAGCAGGAGTGGCACGCCTTGGAGAGGTGACCGCAGGGGAGTTGAGGTAGTTCTAAATGCAGACTACGACGCGGTCGTGACGAGTTGCGTGTTCGCGCATCGTGACGTGCACGTGTCGAGGCGCGTCTTGTCACGCACGGCTTGTCACATGCTCTTCGGACGAGAGAGATCGAGAAGCAGAGGGAGATGTGATTTTTTTCCATAGTGTGTCCTCGATGATTTATGTTAATGTACCTCTGGATGTCATCTCATAGACTATGAAGTGGCACATATTCTTGCGTCTCGCAAGGCATATTTTGATTATGTTATCTTCAGTAAGAAATATCAAAGCAAAGCTGAGGTCGCCGCTTGCTCAATAAGACCCATATAGGCTTCCATCATCTAGCGGCTCTGCGAAGCTACAACGTGCGAAAATGCCACCATGTGGGCGCACACACACTTGAAACCTACTTCTTTGGACAGCGATGCACGCATTCCGTCGCATGGCATTGCAGACAGAGAAACAAGCCACTCTGTTGGGCGCGTCGAGTCCCTCGTGCCCGGCATTACATGCAATTCGAGGTATTCATTCTTACTGTGGTGCATATATTCGTGATAACCTCCTGGTGCGTCGAGCCCGTTGTCTCAAATTGCTATGGGTATATGATAGTCCAATCAGCAGGACATAAGGAGATATCAATAGGTCAAGTCATAGAATACGCCAACAAACTATCTTCACTCCAGCATACCATGTCGTATATGCGCCATGTAGGACCGAAAGATAACATCCATGACATCTAATTCTGATGGCCTTGTGCTGGTTTTCTAGGACCATTCCTTGCTGTGTAAGTAACAGAACGCCAAACCGAACCGACTCAACGAAATTGAATAGGGACATCATGCATTGCATGTTCGCAGCGATGGTGATTGACCATACGCCACACGCTTCCTCTCCGAGATAGATAGATCCGTATCCCAGGTCTGGTTCGGAAGGCGGGGCCGATCGCATGTATGGATGTCTCTACCCATTATTTCAACTAAATGATCATGCACTTCAGTACTGCATGTTTCGTGCACCGGCAATTTGTGATAGGGTAGGAGTCATTTTCTTAGTCACTCCGATGATGGTTGCTGCTCATACAGAGATAGAAGGGCCAGATCTGTATCAATCCCATCCCCTATTGTACCCCCAGAAGGAAAGCGACAGTGAATTGGGATCCTACCGCGAACATTATCACCCCAGATCAAGATGATGAGTGTTGAGTCACAAAATTGGAACAAGGTCCTCTGCAATCAAACCTAATTTCGTGACGGGGTTGGACAATGAACGCCGCACACATTCTCACGGGAGGTTAAGGATCTCTGAGCCGGTCGTCCAGTCCCTTGTGTGCTGATAATTATCCGCTGAGATGCAGGCGCAGGTCCATAGAAGATGTGACATAGTCAGTATTTAAGTCATTCGGCTGAGCTCGAAAATGCAGTGCCAAATTGACCACTGTCCTTACAGAACACCTAGCGTGGACTATCCGACCGGAATAGGCGGCTGAGAATCCTGAGGTGAGGGATTGGTCCCAAGGTCCCTGTGTATGCCGCGTCGCCAGTCTGCCACGCGCACGAATAATATAGTTTGACGATCACTCCGTACTTCAGGTTTCATGAAACACGCAACATCCCTCTCTGAAAACGATGGAGGACGTGACAGTCAACACTAGTCCTAATTGAATACAAGAAATCAGCTGCCTTGCCCGTCGATGGTGATTGTTATCGAGAGTGCAAGGTCAACCTTGGCTTGGAGCAATCTCCCCCGCCGAGCGGACGCCGAACCGTGCTCGTACGAAGCACAGCCCTGTGCCCTGGGAAGTGCAGACATTCACCAGCAAATACTTGCCACATATCCCGGAGCGCGGCCCACATCCGGTCACCGGCGCCTACGAGTGGCGTTGGCGGGTCGAGCGGTCTGTCCTGCCCATCTCCGCCGCCTAGAGAGCGTTTTTCAATGAACCATGTATAGCTGTGAGGGAGGCCTGTAACACGAAAACTGAGACAAGCGGCAGGAGGCTGGCGCAGGCAGCTTTCCGACTCCAGCACTCAGCTCCCCCGTCGCAAGGTCTCCGAGGTCCATCCCGCAGACCATAACGGATGGAGATCTGGCGATCTCGCTCGGATCTGCATCTCGTCCTGGCTCCTTTGTCCGTCGAATCCTTTGCGTGCGCGCCGCATGGTTTTTCTTTTCCGTGATTGCGGGTGGCTTTCCCATGGGAGGCACAGGTGTTTACCCCGCGACAGCGCTAATTGCAGAGGCCCAACTGGTTAAAAGCAGCTTTGGCGTACAACGCCACTCGAAATACCTGCCCTCGAATCATCAACCAGACAATTGCGACCATGCTTGCTCAATTTCCCGACTGGTCTGGAGTCTTTCGGGCCTCCCCATACCAATCACCCATCAAGCGAAAGCGACATCGCAGGTCCGGCGACACCGAAATTGACCTCAACTTAGGACGTCATAGCAAGCGCCCCCATACAGAAGGCCCCGGAGGCACGAATCTGGGATCCAATGCGACAGACAAATATCGGACGCATGAGGAAAAGGGAGACCAATCGACTCAAGACTTGATCGACACAAATGCGGTAGTCGACGCCGCCGTGTTTGTGGAACACATTGCCGAGGATGGCGTGGTTGAGGACGAAGATAGTGACGGCCCTGCGGGCAATGGGGATGAGGATATACAATTTACTGAACAACCGGGGCTCGAAGGACTAGGTCTTGAAGAGCTGAAACAGAGGATTCGCTTCGAAGTGAGTAAACCTGGTATACAATTTCCCCATAAGCATTATAAGCGTTTTACTGATCGCAATCTAGACGGAAGTGGTTAAGTTCCGATGCCCCTTATGCCTCAAGCTTTACTCTGATTACGATGCCGTCGTCCGGCACCTCAAGACAGTCCACAAGAAAGGGCTGGACTGGTGGACTTGTCCACGCCGTGAGTGTGGATACACTACAGACAGGTCGTCGTCATTCAGACGGCATATCGAATCACCGAGGTTCATACAGTGCTTGGAGACCGTGCTCGCAGAGCTTGGAGCAGAATCTCTCCCCAAATTGTGGGATACCTCTGCATATCATATCTGACGGCTCTCTTCGCGACATATCGTTACGTCGTCACTCCTACATTTTCTCTCGCAGCCCTGTTGCGCGCGAATCCGCTGTCTATCTGCTCTATGACTGTTACTCTCTCGCTTGTCGCTGGCTTCGTGATTTGATGGATACCCTATGGGCAGCCATCAAGGACTTGTATATACTATTCGATCCAATTTCCCCCACGATGACATATTGCTATTGACCTGACTGGGATTGCTCATCGCACGTTACATATAATACCATGGTTCTGTCTGCCCTCACACGCCGCGCAGGTCTAAGACAAGCTGCCGCAAAGAAACCTTGGATGAGACTCAATCTATTTTGAGCCCGACCTGAGGCCCACAGGAGTTCGACAGGGGGTCAGCTGTACATCTCGTGGTGCAGATGAGGAGGATAACATAGCGGTCGTTATACAGCTGTCGCTCCGTATAACCCGCGTCTTCGAATACCACAGTTACGATATTTCGTTCTTCGTCAATACTGGACACAGAAAATGCTGGATGAGTACGGCACAAGGAGCGGGTGGTGCGCCACACTACAATTGTTCTGACGATTTGCACTGCAAGGGAATCTTGGTGAGCCTGTCTTAGTGCGAGAATGAGCAGAATCACAACGAGGTAGATTGTCTAACCTGTGTGCTACACGTAAGACTTTGAGACTCGGTAGAAAGCGCTCGGCATGAATTGGACAACCGTTGCACGGCAGAAACCGTATAAAAGTACTTAGGCCATGACAATGAGGAGCCATTCAAGGAGATCTCGGGAGGAATATGCATTAGGCCTTCGGCCTGTTGATCATCTTGAGTTGGGGCACGTTCTCGCTTTTGCAGATATATAAAGGACAAGAAGTTCATTGAGGGTTGCGCTGACCCATGCACATTCTGATGTCAAAGGGCCCCGTCCGCTACTAGACAATGTACACCGGTGCCGCGGCCACATCCAAACGGTTCGACGAGAGCGAAGAGCCTCAGCGAGGTTCAGATATCTCTAACGCCTTGGGAGTATCTGGATATATCTGGAGAACGAGAAGACCTACTTACTACGGGACTAGGAAGTTTATGAAAGATTGAGCAAGAACTTGTGCAGCCGACGCATTGGAGATTTCAAGAGAGTTCTACATCGTATGAAAGGAAAGCTTAATCTTGAAATTGGGAAATGACATGTCCTTGTGCTTGGCCCTTGCTCATGTGATGTTGGGTCTCTATGACAGTGGAGGTTTGTGGCCGTTTGATTCAATTTTGATGCGTAACATGAGACGGCACGCGTTGGTGACAAGACGCGTCTGATGTGACATAGCGCGAGGACGAGCGCTTGGTCTAGCCGCACTTCGCCACAGCTAGCACATGTCATGTTCCCAGCTTCCTGCAAAACCCCTCGTCGACTTCGGGTGCGATGTGCTGGCATTTTGCTGTGCTCAAGAGGTACACATATCAGCAGCCTGACTGCGTCGAAATTCAGAATAGTCTTCCTCGGACGAGATGAGTTCTCATGTCGGGTACTTGAACACTTACACGGTGCACCAGGTACGTCATATGTTGTATAACAATATATCTGTATCTTGATATGATCTACCTCTAGATATATGGGAGGATCTTGCTGTTGTGACCCAGCCAGACGCGAAAGTTGGCCGACGGGGCTCCAAGCTTTCAGTATGTGAGTTTCCCGTCACTGAAACAGAGGGTGATCCGTCCATGAGTGTACAGTCTCGTGCTGCTCTACCCTTTGGGAAGACATGTAGGCTGATGCCCATTGTGCTCTTTAGCACCGTTGAAAACCCTAGCGGAAAATCTCAGTCTGCCAGTGCATTTCATTCCGCCGGATAAACCCTCCTTCAAGACATGGCAGGTCTTGATGTTTCCTAAAACTACTTTGGCATCGCTGAAACCCTTTCAGCCTCCACCTCCGTTCCATTTCGGGCCTGGTCATTCGCCACCGCCGTCGCATATGCTCGTAACTGCCTCTTTCGGACGTATTCTCTCCAATTCACTGCTTGCCCTATTCGAACATGGCAGACGGTTGAATGTACATCCATCTCTTCTCCCCGCATATCGTGGTGCGGCCCCAATTCAACGTGCGCTGCTTGATGGACAAAACGAGACCGGGGTGTGTGTTATCGAGATGATGGAGCGTAAGAAAGGGATTGATGCTGGTGAGATCTGGGGGCGGCGCCGCATGGTGGGTATTTCTCTGAGCCAAAGGGTAGTGTATTTGATATGCTTGACAGGCCATTCCCAATGGCATTGCGTTCCCAGAGCTGAGAGACGCATTGGCTTGCGAGGGTGGACAATTGCTGGTCTCTGTCCTCCGTGACATGTTGACAGGAAAGGTGAGGTCTTCCCACATTCATCACTATCTTGAAATAGTCATCTCTATCTTCAACTACTTAGGCGACGGCGAAGCCTCAACCAGTTGACCCTCAGGCACCCCGCGCTCCTGCCATTCAGGCTAAGGATGCCACTGTAGACTTCTCACAAATGACTGCGGAGGGCATTGTTCGTCGCTACCGTGCAATATCCCATCAAGTACCATCCCTACGCTGGTGCACAGGAATTTGAGTCCATCTGACATATTGTTTCCATCTAGAAACCTATCATTACTTATCTCAAGACGAAGAGAACCCTCCAGCTGCACTCGCCCTATGTGTGTACGGAGCCACCTCCTGATATGGAGAACCTCCTGCCGGCCCCAGGTACGGCGATGTTCCACCCACCTGAGAGGGCGCTACTCGTCCGCTGCGCATCGCACACCGTTCTTGCTGTGCCGCAGGTGAGCGCCATCCCGAATCTCACGTCTATCGGTACACGACCTCATTTGTATCGAAGGTGAAGCAGCAAGACCGCTCCTTATTGAAGGCCAAAGAGTGGTGGAACGGTCTTAGTTCGGAGCTACGCCTTTCCGGAGAACGAAGCCCTGTGCAATTCCTAGCACTGGATACAGTCTGCCCATAGGCTCTCTGCTTGCTACAATCTTGAATGCTCGATGTCAGCTCTTGTACGGATCCTCGAGTCACGGATGCTACATTGATATCGTCGGGAAGTCGTGTGCGTGTCGTTACTAGCGGCGGCAATTCAAACGCTACATACGGAGGAACTACAAGGGAATAGTTCAGAGACAAGGCGAGTGTCGAAATCATACGGCATAAGGTCTAGGTGGTGTATACAACTTTCATTCGATCTACTACCGGTACGGATTGGTCGTGCGGTCATCATCACGAACAAGACGTTACGTACTCTCTTTGCCAGAAGTCTTCTCTGTCGTAATCACCTTTCCCTTCCTCCCAAATCGCCACGCACTGGGCTGCTTGAACGCAGGAATAGCAGTCCGGACGCGTTTGAGTGACAAGTGATGCTGAAGAGGAGCGCGTACGTCGGTCTTCCCTTCTGCTATCGTCGCACTCGCTGCCTCAATCTTTGAGGTAGGGTTGGATGGGCGCAAAGCCATTGCCTCCTCCACGCTACTCGAGACTGCAACGCTGAACGTTGGAGATGAGGGGCGGATAAGTGAATGTGCATAGGACGCTGAGTACTGTGAGTACACGCTCTCCGGTTTCTCCTTTTGTACTTCAAGTTGAGCGCTGACCTGCTGTATGTCTGTCGGGACGAATTCACTGGCGGACACGCTGTTTCCAGGTCTGCAGGCAGCAGGTATATCCAGCGCTGGTCGACCCGCATCTTGGGCACCGATGGGCCCTAGGACAATTTCTTCTGTGCCCGAGACCCAGTTACGCCAGTCCATGGCTCGCCCGGCATCACCAGGTGCATACTCGGCACTATCCAAGGCCCCAGATAGAACAGCATCTGCCACTGTCCACTCACAACCCCACGGGTCGCTGGTCAGTCTGGCTGTGGATTCTACCGCGGGCGGCGAAAGAGCGCAGTCGAGTGCTGTCCCAAACGTGGACGAGTACATGATGTATGAGCTCACATTTGCGTCCGCCGCATTGTGCCCGCAACACCGTGCCGCCTCGTTCGCGATGCAACATGCGAATGCGGAGAGGAATGCTTCCATGCTCTCGACGAGCTGTAAGGTCTTCCGTGGATATCTGGCGGTGGCGCGTGGAAGGAGGTGGATCAGATGCGGCGTCCCAGCGGGTGCGACGGGGCCAGACAGCGCTGCCGAGGTGAAGAGATCTCCCAGATGTGTGCGAGGAATGTCGACCGACTGGCTTCTGCCGCTTGACTTGCGAGCAGAAGAGAACCTCAATTTGCACTTGCCGAATAGGTCGTTGTACCGAGGTCCGAGCGGAGCTGGAGGGGTGAGATACGGCCGGCTTATGGCCGTGGCCAGAATGGTTTGGCGGAGCAGAATGTCGTCGGCGTCTTCATCAGGGAGGAGGTTGATGAGGACGTCGAATGCTCTCGTGGATCGACCTGCCAGCCTGGATGTGCTGTAACGTGTGGGGGCACGCCACGCGGACGAGCAGTCGAGACCACCATGCCGGCCGTTGAAAGTTGAGGGATGGGGCTCGCCACTGACGTCCTCGACGAGCTCGGATACTCCTGAACCGCCATACTTCCGCCAGTCGTGGGCGATCTGCGCTGCCCAATCAAGAGCAGCGACAAGGCGTGAAGCGTTTCCTCTGCGCTCGACCAATGGATAGGACAGATGCAAGATGCGAACCGCTGGGATGACAATGTGAGGGATGTCAGGTGGCTCGTGCGTGACCACAATGAGCAGCGAATGGGCATATTGTCCAGACAACAAGAGTGGCGCGAGGTCCTGATACGTCGGTGCTAATGCTAAAGGTTAGTTCATGTTTGCGGTGCACATATTGGTTTCCAGATGCTCACCTCCCAAGAGCAGGATAACATAGCAGCGAGGCACTGACGTTGCAGTTAGGAGTGTCTGCACATTCAACATCCGCTTGCTGCTTTGCATCTCGTATGCGTCCATGTTCTCAGGAAGTGCATTGCGAGGCTGAGCGGACTGGCTTACTCCGTTCATGCTGATTGTCGGAAGTGCTCATCGACTGACTGTCACCTGGTTATATGTAGGAAAGAAGTATGGCATCAGTAAGGGAAGATGGCACAGACGTTTACGCGGTTAACGAGGAGCCGATGACTGCGTACCAACTGCGGCCCATTCCTCTGTCTGCTGTTGCATACATGTCTACATAGGCCAGCATTGAGTTCGCTCGTGATGAAATTCGCGACTGCTCGGCACAGGCAGGACATGGAATCATTGATGAATGCTTTGGAATCACACGGACGGAATGTGGGTTTAGAACCAAGTTGAATTACAGGTCAATATCCCTACATGATACGGTCGCTGAACGCAGGGAGACAGGCGACACGTTGCAGGCACAGACCTTTCATCGATGTTTATCAATATATGTTTGCTATTGCCATTGACACATCGCTGAATGCTACTATTATTCGCATCGATTGTTCCATTGTCTGTGCTACGCTCCTTATTCCACACTTCGACAAAACGACATCGCTCCGGCTGTGCAGGTCTATTGCGAGATATAGACGTGACGGCGGAGTCTGCCAGGCTGCGTGAGTATTGTCATGACGCATGACCGGACTGGGAGTTCAGTGGTATGCCGTTCTCAATTGCGCTCTCAGGGCAAGTTGACCTTCTTTTTCCCTGGTTGATTTTTTACTGGATATTTAAAACAGTACATAAAAATCCCAATCCCAAATTTCCTGCTTCATTGATACAACGCGCGCACTCGCAGCCAAATGCCGATCGTGATCGGTAGCGGTTGTTTGACAATGTTTACTAGCGGCCTTTACCAAATTGCCTAATCCGGACAATTTACGGACTACTCCTGCTGTCAGTCATGGCCGCCTTACAGGCTGTGAAGCAATTTCGCCTCCGTGAGGTTGCCTCCCTCGTCTCTACGGACCAGAAGCTTGCTCTCTCACGGACAAAAGTTCTTAACCCCTTCCTTCCTCACAAAAACCCGGACACACAACGCTGGGCACCGCCCAAATACTCTCTGAGGCGACAAGCCGAGCTCATTAAGCTTGCTCGTGCTAGCAACACTTTACATCTTCTCCCGCCTGGCCCCAAGCTTGGCCCCTCCGCCCTTCAAAGTCTTACTGCTGGCTCGAGCGGGGTATCATCTTCCTCCGCGCCCGGGACCGAAGAGGTTTGGACCCAGGAGGTAGAATGGGAAGGTGAAATCAAAGAGAAGGCGGTTCCAGGTGCGGATGTTGGGAACAGACTATACGCCGCCAAACGCAGGATGTTCAAGGGGCACAAATGGGAGAGGACGAAGGAGAAGAGGGAGGAGACGCGGAAGATGCTCATGAAGGGCATGAAGCAACGCATCGAGCGTTTCAAGACGGTGAGTATCGTCTCGCTCTTCTCTAGCCATTTTATGATGCTCATGTAAGGTTGCAGACATATCGTCGAAAGGCACCCAGCCCTATCAGCGTTCCTCGGACCACAAGCTATACCAAGCTTCCGTTCTGATGATAGAACTATCGTGTATCCCCCACACCTCCATTGTTCCCGAAGCATTATCTATAGAGTCATCCCTATCTAGTATTGCCTATCGCACACCTCTGTTTCTTTCTGACACCGTGTGCGCGTGTCGAAGGAATTGGTTCACTGCTGACGTCAGGAGTAAGTAGTGCATTCCAACACACAATTTCAACAAATCTTGTTCATGAAGGCCTCAATCCTGTCGAAGCTCAAAGAAAAGCTTCATGAATGCGTGCGTCTCGAATTCTGCATCAGCGTGTAGACCTATGAAGCGTTTCAGTCAGAACCAGAATTATTATGTCATCAATGCGACTTCAAGGCCATCTTGACGAAGTGAGGTATAACAAATTACCTCCAGTGAGCTGTCACTCGCGACTCACAGTTGCCGCTCATGGAATTGTACCAACCTACCAAGTCACCAAGTCAGGACTCACACTGCCTGGATGCGTGGCCTTTCGGGCCGTGATCTCCCTCTCTATATGAAGGGCTCGCTGACGAACGATTGTATGCAGAATAATATGTGCGGCACCCTGTGCATTTCCCCGCGTCAATGCAACGGCAATAGACATATTTATTAGACATTGCAGACCGCATCAGGAAGACTACTATGGTTTACCAGTGGATGGCCCCCCCTCTTGATGGCCAGGTAACACTTTGTCACATCAATGTGACGATGCCGATTCAGAGGTCCGCTCGGCTCACAGGCCCTGGGCTTGAACTTTTGCTCAGTGGTGTGTGGCTCCTCGGTGATCGACAGGTTCATCTTGTAACTCCGCTCGCGTCCGTCGTGGCCATCGTGCTCTCGGGCGTGACATCACCATCAAACCCCTCGAAAGAAGGGACTCCTCAACGACTCATCCGTTTGCTCTGATTCAAGATGGAGGTGAGAGCAGGCATACGAAAACATAGGTGTCCATATAACTTCGAGGGCAGGGCAGTGCCCAGTTGTTGCACATCACAAACCTGGCCATCGAGAGGGGGGGGCATCCACTGGTAAGCCATAGTATGCGATATCGAGCAGCGTTTCCAAATTGTAACCAAAGCATATACCCCTGGTATCGTCGGCGCGCAGTCGCAATTTTTCTGACACCAGAGAACTTCGTGGTAGGAGCTGACAGGACGCCAGAAGTATTAGATGCCTTAGCGAGGCACACATGTCCGAAGACGCCAAGAGGTTTGCACCGTATTGCGGAAACTGTTTCGGCGGTGAGCGGCGATTTCACATTGCAGATATGACTGTTGTCCATTCTGCGCCATAAAAGTGCTTCCGGTGTCATTCTCAGAATCATTGTACGGAGGCCCCCAGGCACAATTGTGCAGGGTTGGCATGCCAATAGCCCCGTACAGGGACTTGGCTACAAGTCAGTGACGCCATCCCAGTGCGCGGCACGCTGAGGAGAGGCACGGGGGGAGGCGCCGGCACTAATTCCGATCTTGCAGCAGCGGTAGGAACCCCGGGGTTCTTACCATAATCGGGGCAGACAAACATCTGACCCGACGTGGAGGACAATGCCTTCATGCAACGTTAGACAGGGCCGAGTCAGGAAGGGTGAGCACAAACAATGCGGGGTTCCCCAGTGGCACATCTGCTGATCTGATCAACCCGAGCAAAATGCAAGGACGGATTGGGCGCATGGAAGACAAGGGCAGCACGCTCAATCAGCGGGCGACCTTCTGGCGTCGACTCTTGTAGGCCGAGCACACTGCTCCCGCTCCGCGTGTGAATGCGCGTCGCGACCGTGTCGCGCATATTTAAGGGCGGACGCTCCGCTGCTTGGTCCTTCATCTCCTACCCACAAACTGCGACTACACTCGACCCCCATCTTCCCTCCAGTCTCCGCCTTTTATCACCATGTCCGCTGCCTTCATTCCAAAACCCCTCTCAGAGAAGCAAGTATTGAGCAACAAAGCTTGCTCACGTATCCTCCTAAATATCGCCAACGCAACGGTCTGTAACGTCGTGCTGGACATGTGGCGAGGATCTGATTGGCGTGACTATAGGCGCAGGCTGATTGGCCTCGGGACATCGGCACCCCTGGGGAGCTAGAGCTGGTATTCAGTCGACCGCCTGCAGTAGGTGACCCTGTGGCAGGACCTTCTGCCATTCCATACACCGTCGCCGACAGTGCGACGCTCCGTAAAGCGTCCAACACCGGTTCCAAGAAACGCAAGCTAGGAGTCAGAGATAAAGAAGTAAGTATTTAGTGTCTTTATTAACTCTAACCCTGTCTAACGTTGCATGCAGAATGTGGCTGAGGAAAAACCGCGCAAGAGATATAAGGAGGGCTTCCCCGTCTTATGTTGCGGGGAGCAATTGGCCGACAAGGGGACATATACCCGCCATCTCAAGTCACGCACCCACCGTGACAAGACTGGAGAGGAACATAGGACGCATCTGTGGGTCTGTGCAGGCTGCCACATGCGATACGGCCGCCCAGACGAATTGCGGCGGCACTGGGACTTACCAGCCTCCGCAGAGTGCAGGTCCCGTATCCTGGAGGAACACCCGGAATGCTCGGGAACTGAACAAATTCCAACGAAAACTTACAGGGTTCCGTTGTGACGGTGGTCGTCGTTTTCTGTTCTGATAGTCCCTTGCTTATTATCATTATACCTATTATCTCTTCCCTGCTGTGCATCACGCTATCCCAGACACAATTTCCACGCCTTTGCTCTCACGTTTGCGCCGTACCCTTGCTGACGCCTCAGTTACTTTATTAGATATTTTGTTCAACCGTTGCTTCTGTGGTCGACATCTCCTGGCATGTTAGGCTTGTCATCCTGAGTCCGTACCAAGGATCCGGCGATCCGTCATGTCTATTGCCACAGACTCACATAATATATATGCATGCAATCGACGGGCGAAGACGCGTTACATGTTTTCCCGTGTGTTCACATGCTGTGCATCTGAGCTCGACAAGATACGACATACTGTCTTACAGGTAATGATATCGGCCCCAAAACGTTATTGATTTTGGATGGTAGTGAAATTCAAGATTCGCCACTCGCGGGGAGCGCTGCATATCATCAATCAGCCAGGTCATCCGGCTAGAATATATGGAAGGTAAGCTTCATAACGTTACTCCTATTCGATGGAGATTACATCACATGGAGTTCGACAAGGCAGACTTCGCCCGTTGTTTTTTCTTTCTTGTCGGCGGTGCAGTCGAACTGGCGCCTCTTGTGTCGGATCGCGACAACTTATTACGAACATTCAAAAAAGGAACTGACAGAGATGATATCGTTTTCGGGGACATCATCAATGTTGCAGAGTCGAGGTCAGTACCATGAATCTCGTTCAAGCTGACTGATTGACTTTGTATTGTTACAGACCCCAAGTCCGAATGGAAGACACATTCCAGAGCAATCGCGTCTTCCTGGCCGGTGGTGTGTCAACCACAATCAACGTGGTTTGGATGTCTGACTTTGGATTTATCATAAATGCTCCCATGTGCACACGCCGGCGAGCGGACAGGTACGTATATACGTACATATCGTGCTTTTCGAACGCATCTGATCAGTAACTTCCAATCTTTAGCTCCAGCATCCAAGATGCGGTAGGCGCACTTACCATGACATGACCGCGCCATATCGCTCATATATTCTGTTCTCTCAGTTCAATCTCGCTTGGAAACTAGCACTCGTCGAGAAGGGCCTCTCTGATCCGAGCCTGCTGTCGACCTACAGCGAAGAACGTGTACCCGTGATTATCGACATGCTGAAAATAACCAGCGAGCTGTTCCGCAACGTTGCTACTGCAACTAAGGACGAAGCTGGCCTCTCACGTGCAATATTGGCGCTACGGACGCGCAATGACCATGTCAAACAATTTGGAGTAAATTACCGATGGAGCTCCATCGTTCTTGACGAGCGACGCCCTGCGGACGAGGGCGAAGATCTTCGCGCGAATGCGTACGGCTCGCAGAAAGATGATGTGCTCAGGGCAGGAGATCGGGCGCCTGACGCGCCCGACCTGGTCGACGGCGAGGGGAAGACCTATTCTCTTCTGCGCGTCTTTGGCACCACGCATCACACTGTGGTTATCTCCTCCATGAACGAGGAGGTCCTGGAGCCATACCTTTTGCTGTTAAGAGCTGGAACAAAAGGCATTGTCAGAATTCTGGTTGTGTCCCCACAAGGTTCCTCAGGGCTTTCGAGGGTAGATGACGTCTATATGATCATCGACGACGATGGCGGGCATGCATATGTGACTTACCGAGCCTTGGATAAGGAGACCATCGCCGTGGCTGTCAGACCTGATGGTGTGGTGGGCGCGATTGCACGTGGGGTTGAAGGCTTGGGGAGATACTTCGAGAAGATATTCCTCTAGAACTCAATTGTCTGATTAACTCGTATCATTCAAGCGTTGACTTGTTACTTGCACTCATGTGGCCAGATTGAGGCTTGCTTGCATGTTGTATGCTTTGTGTTGGAAACGAAATAGATTAAAGGTTCAATGGAATTAATACTGGGGAAGGGCTTGATTCCGGATGGGCCGAATAGCTGAAAGGTGTGGTTCTACTTCAGAATGAATAGACTTAATCGTACAAGATAGAACAGACTCGAGGGGCAAGCGCTTCGTTCATTTATGACATCAACCCTAGTGTAGTGCGACACCCTCATCATCTTCGTACAGGTCAGCTGACGAAATTGTAGATTCAATCTCCAAGTTCTAGGTATCGAGCCAGGGGGAGCCCGGAGGCCGCTTAAGGCCCTGGGGAATCCTGTTGAGAGTCGTATATATTTTCACGTGCTTCATCCAGTAGACTCGTCGTGACTTTCGTCCCCTGAAATCAGGAATCGTCTGCACATGTTATGATGCAAAGTGAGGCGAGTGTGTTCTGCGTACCAGAATACACATGATCCGAGTCATGAAATCCGCTGTCTGGCAACGGACAATAGTACCAGTTGTCGTAGGTCCGGCCACTGATCCCTCCGCCCAGGTAGCCATTCCCAGACATGTTCTGGAAACATATTATGCCCAATCGGCACTTGTTTTTGGTGAGTCGTGGAAGGTAGTCCAAGATTAGGTCTTCCATCTTGTAATACCACACCTCGAGCTCTTCGGGGCGGCGTACGCAGATTGAGATCTCCACGTCCGGGTGTTCATCGGCAATGCGGGCCAGTTCGGCATCCATCCTTGACCAGTCGAGCCGCGATTGATACTCGCCCGTATCGGTCCAGTCCTGCCAATGGACCATGCGAAGGAGGAGCTGAATCTTTTGTAGACGTGTATGCAGCGGGAGAACCTGTGCGAGCGTGCTTGGAATCCAGTCTAAAGGCATGCGCCTCACCAAAGCTGTCTCGTCCAGCATTCCGAGCGCGATGTCCTTCAATTGCAGAACGCGGAGCTCGGTGTTGTCGGCAAAGGATATGGCGGATACGCGGGGCTCGCACTGCATCGCAGTCATCGCTAGGTGCTCTAGCGACGGCCCAGCTTCGCGGAGGAGATCTTGCGCGTCCTCGACGGACTCTTCCGCCTTCGGGTTGAGCACGAGCTGAAGCTTTCTGGGACGTAGCTGCAGTGGGGCCTTGACGAGTATCGGAACAATGCGCATAGGGGGGGAAGACACGTGGACAAATATCATGTCATGCAGTTCGTGCATCGAATTAGACCTTGCCACAGGGAGCTGGTCAGCGTACTCCTCGGGAGCCGGCAGGACTTTCACGGTGCATAGGGTCAGGTGCTCTAGAGATGGCATCGCGTGGAAGAGTAACAAGAAGTCGATCTCGTCGATCTCGATATTTGCTAGGAAGAGTGACTTGATGTTGGAGAAGCGCCGCTGGAAGACGCGCGTGTCAAGCCCGATGTCGAACGCGCTCCAACCCACGAGCATAAGATCCGTGACGTTCTGCAGCTCCGTCAAGACGCGGAGCAGGTCTTCCAACACGAACCGCGCGGGCGGCTTTCCCAGACACAGACTGGTAACATAGTCTGCGATCCCAGGCGACCGGTTGAGTATGCTTATGAATAGAGCGTACGCTCGCTCCTTGCGCAGGTCGACTTCTTTGAACATGTTGAATCGACTCCTGTAACGGAATACGCGTCCCGCAAGACCACACGCCGCGAGTGCGGCACGATCATTGTGGAGATAGTCAACGATCTGCTCGCAGACTTCCAAGGGAAATCTGGGTCGTGTGGTATCTGTGTCTATGAGTATAGATTTGTAAACTTTGCGCGTGCGTGAACACGCGGTAGACCTCATACCTGTCATGGATTCAAGCTAGCGAAATGCCACACAGGAATGCTCGAGTAAGGGCAACAGCCTCCTACTGGTTAGGGTGTTTCTGTTTCTCGCAGTGTAGTGTCGACTAGGATTAGCTGGTCCACGGACAACTATATCGTAACAGGAATGGCTTGCTACGAAGCTTTAAGGAAAGGACCGGGACTCAGAAGCAACTGCGGACGTGTGTCTGCTCATATACTAGATATTGGATATTGATCGACTGTCATCCATGTCCGTAAATGGCTCGCAACGCAGACTATTATGTCTGCTCATTACACGTGCCATCAAAACGCGACCGCGTAGGCGCCGGCACACGCTGGCAACACTTCCGAACCCCTGTTTGGGCATACTTATATTGTTAAATTCTTGGTTCCTGTCAAATTCTGCGTCGTTATTGTGAGAATTTGCTAATGCTTTGTCGAGTGCTACTACTTCAAACGCATGTCTGGTCATCGAGGCCACCCTTTCTGCCATTCGGTACGAAATCTGATACCATTAGGAGACACCCTCTACGAGAGCCGTCTTCGTAGTGCCCGTCTTGAGCCCAGAATGGGTCTGCAGTCTTTAAAATCTTTTCTCGTTGACATTGATTGGCGATGACAACGCGCAAAGTGGCTGGCTACTGAAACACTGAAGCGCCATCAGGATGTCGGAAACCGCGTGACTGCAGTTCGCTGGCGCTAAAACGCCCGACGACTCTCTCAGCGAACGACGATACCCTGGCCGTGCATCCACCCTTGAGGAGCGGGCAAGTGTACAACAGCTTTAGGAAGTACCCCACGATCTCTTTTGACGATTTCCATGAAGTTTGCACGGTGCGTCTTATCGATTTTGAATCTGTGATGCTGATTTTGACGACGTGATGTGTCTCACGGCGCACATGCTGTCACCGTCTGCCGAGTAGTTACTTAGAGGAAACTCAGGTGAGCAACCTAACAAACTATTCTGCAGACTGCTGAGTACCCGGCTGGCTCATAGACACCAGAATGGAAGAAGGCATACATGTTCGTGCCAGCCGTCATCTCCCCCGCAGTGAGATACTGACTGCCAGCATTTGCAGTGACTACAGAGGCCTCAAAAAACGCATAACAGCAATACGTCGGATACAAGAACAGGACAACATTGAACCAGGCACCACGTCGGCACTTGCATTATCGCCATACCCTAGCGCCGGCGCGCCGGCTGACACGGGTCCGACGACTTTGCTTGAAGACGCTGAGACATCCGCACCCGCACCCGTTCATGTCGCCGGGCACGGGTCTGCGGTCGACAATGCCCACAACAATGGCTGTGCTTCCAGCCCTGTGCTAGCGCATTCGGATACGGCCACTAGCTCTGGTGTCCTCCCCCGCCTGCGACGACGAAGCACCGTGGTCAGTCGCGCACAGGTGACGTCATTAAGCCTACCAGTCTTGCGGGGGCCTTACCTTTGTGCCGTAGTCACAACCGCAGGCCGCTGTTTCGCCCAGTAGCGCCCACGGGTTTCAGAGACTCCCTAGATCGCCATGGCCCCCTGGTTCAAACCCTCCACTGCGTGAAATTCTACCCTTGCTTGCGCCTGTGGAGCGCGCCTTCTTCGACAAATTGGATAGTGAGCTGGACAAAGTCGAGAGTTTCTTTTGCGCAAGGGAAAGGGAACTTAAGGCTAGGTAGGTGTCTCTTCACCGTGAGATACTAGTAAGATGCGCGACTTCCACGCACGAAGCATGCTCTTGTAGAGATACATAGCTGCGAGATGCAACCTGACTGAGATGTGCGCAAGGCGTTGTAGAAGGGCTTTAAAAATAAACACCTAGCAGACGCTATATGCATGGATTTAGGCCTGTGCATCTTTGCATTTTTTGGCGTTGAACATAAGGGTTTTCCAGTCGAGCGGTGCTGATTTGTTATTTCAGATATGAAGTGCTGAAGACACAGTTGCAAACTTTAAAAAATCACAGACGTGCCTTTCACGTACGTAGCTCCTTATATCTAGCGTGTCGTCCGTACAGCGGACATGATAGCAGTTCCCTTTGCCGATGCTTCGCCTCGTATCAATCCGACATCAGGGTGCTAGTTTCGACCAGATGATCGCACTCCCACATGCCGGGTGAGATGACCGAGGGTGATCGGTACATCGATGAGTGCATTCGCCGCTTATCCTGTACCCGATTTCTATCGCGACGTAGAGTTGAATGCCCATAGATGCCGGAAGCGAGATCTGATCCAAGTATCGGGTATCTTGTTCTCCGCTGCACCCCATTTCTGAAAGTCTAAATGTCTCTAACCATCCATTGTTTTCTAGGAAGCCCACCCACACGCAGCCACGCGGAGAGCATGGTTGCGACCACCTCCTGTCCCTTCCTTCCTCCATCGGATCTACCACGCGCCCAGTGCCGTCCGCATGACCCCGCTACCCTCCATCCGCCTAGGTAAGCAGCGTACGGGCTCCGACCACGACCACGACCACGACGGCAAGGACGCCGAAGAGGAAGAAAGGACCATCGGCGACACCGACCACATCATATCTAAGGATGTCGAAATGCACACGTTCAAAGTAAAGAATGCTGCTCTGGACGCGGATTCTATCGCAACAGTCGAGCGCGTACGGTCTATCCAGAGCTCGGAAGGAAACAGCTCTGCGAACCGCTCGCACATTGGCGACGACGCAAGGCCCCTGATTCAAGCATGGGAGAGCGGCCAAGGCAGCGAAGACAAGAAACAGAATGGCTTTACACACAGTGCAACTAACGAGGGTCTCAACGGCAAGGCTAAGGGTATCACTACTGCTACTATCCGCGATCCCGATGAGTATCGGGAGGCCAAGAAGACTCTCAAGAAGGCCGTCCAGGAATGCTATCGGTGAGCGATCAGCTGGCTCCCCGAGATTGCGGGTCATACTGAACGAAGCAGAGGGTTGGAGGTCCTGAACAACTATCGGGTATGGCGTTACCTGGCTACCCAGCCAAGTCTAAAGCTGATGGTACTCCTCAGACGTTGAATCTCATCGGTTTCCGGAAGGCTCTGAAGAAATTCGAGAAAGTGACACTCGTAAGATCAATCACAACTGGCCAAGGGAAGCGCAATCAACTTGCTCACAGATACCCGCCCAACAAGCGTACACCGTGGAGAAGATTGAGCCCAGTGCATTTGCATCCGGGGCTAGTTTAGACCGGATATTACGCGAGCTAGAGGATATGTTTGCTGCTCGCTTCGGTGTGCCTAAGCATCTCATATTGTTGTAGTTTTTATATCTTTATACGGCCTTCTGCAGCACGAGGTGACAAGAAGAAGGCACAGGCGCGCTTGCGAAGCGACTCGCAGCATAAAAGCCACCACTTCAGTACCTTCAGAAGCGGGATGCTCCTTGGGCTTGCCGTGCCCGCATTGGCGGATGGAATCGTCAAAAGTGAGTTGTAACCCACGGAGAGTAAGAGCGGGCGTGACATTTTAGAATTTAGGCTTCCAACCCGAGACTCGAGCAGCAATTCCGTCATGGGATGGGTTGCTATTTGTCTATGGGATCTTTCTCGTTCCTGTCCTTTTCTCCCTGTTGATCGGGTTAAATCTTCTCGTATGGCACAAAGCACGTATCAACTACACTTTTATATTCGGTATGTCTTCCCCTTCTTGTCCAGGGTTTCCATAGCTCAATGACTCTCTTTACTAGAATTGGATTTGCGCACACGACTAGACTATAGAGAATATTTTGAGGTCCGTTGCATGGCGTCGCATGTAAAACCATACCTTGATTTATCTATTTGACCTCAACAGGTTCCTACACTGCTGCTGTCCACGCTCTGCTATGCCCTCTGGTTATCATTCGCGCGCGTTGGCGCCTCTACCATCACACCTTCTACTTGGCCATTGCTGTGGCTTGTATGGGCTCTAGCAGTGTGGTTGAACCCGTTGCCGATACTATACAGACCATCTCGGTACTGGTTCGTCAGGAACCTTGGCAGGCAGCTCTCACCGGGTGTCCGGCGTGTGGAGGTATGTTGCTCGTGTGCTGCTCGGTGTTCTGGCAAACAAACTGACTATCCTCTCAACCAGTTTCAAGACTTCTGGATGGGGTGGGTATACTTTCTACGAGGGCTGTCCTAGGGCCATTATCTGATAGGTTTTTTGTTAAGCGATCAATTCTGCAGTCTAGCTTTCACCCTGGGCAACCTCTATTTTGTTGGGTGTGCCTACAGCCATGATGTTGTGAACTGGCGCAGGTGCACAACAGGTAAGTACTGGGCGCCTGCATTTGCCCTGGCTGCGCTCCCCTTCTTTGTGCGATTCGTTCAAAGTATCAAACGTTGGGTGGATTCGCGGTTGGTCACCCATCTAATCAACGTAAGTCCTATTGGTCGCTCGCACAGGTCTCTGGACTGACGGCCAGAGCAGGCGGGGAAATACGGCACTGGGATCATCTACTATTTCACTTACTACTTGTGGAGAGCACAAGGTCGGTCACTTATACAAAGATTGGATATGCGCTGAGACGCACTCCGACAGGTGGCGGTTATGGTAGTCGCTTCGTGGCCTGGGTTATCCTAGGCATATGCTATGCGACATACGCTGCTGCATGGGTGCGCTTCCTCCCAGTCCACTCATATATGTTAAATTTCAACGTACGGATAGGACATTCTCATGGACTGGTCGCTGATGCGTCGCCATGCCAAATATCCTCTATTACGATCGGATCTAATATATACATCCTACGTTCCGGTCAGTCAATCATTCTACACACATGTCGTATCTTTCTTACGTATTGTCCCGCCCAGCTATATTACTTTGCTATTGTAAGAGTAAATCTGCTGTCCTTGGTACTTCACCTGACTGCTTTTAGATCTCGAACATCGTCATTCGTTTTGAATTCCTCATGTATATCCCCGAACACGGTATCAACTACGTGATCAGGACCTTTATAGCCGCCATGCTCGAGATGCTCAGAAGATGGCAGTGGAACTTCTGTACGTCTTAGGTTTCATCTTTGACGCACCACGCTGACCTGACTGGCATATTCTAGATCGTCTAGAGAATGAACATGTTGGGAACATGGATCAGTATCGTGTGACAAGGGAGGTTCCCCTACCATATTCCTTCGATGCATCCCATGACTCAGACGGAGGGGACGAGGACGATGATCTCGACGCACGGCTGAGCATTTCTAGCAGATCTTGGCGACGGCGAAACCCACGGACGCCGCTAGTCGAGCCCGTTGAGGATAGCCATTGATCGCAGGTTCAGGTAGATTATCTCATGCATTTACCAGCAGGTACGGGTAATAGACTCAGGCCATCAGGGATATATTACTGTGAACTATCTAGACAGCATAATACGGGAGGGATTTTGCATCGAAACGCATCGCTACCTAAGGTGTCCAATTCAGCGATAAGCAATAGACACCATATGCTCGTCCCCGCACACCAACGTTGGATATGTCAGTTTAGGGCATAACGGCCGTACCAGCCATTTCAGCCAATGTGCGCGACGAAGCGGGTGAGCGACGACTGGTCCTCCTCAAGGGCACCACATGATTGAATCACGATGTCAATTAACCTTATGATCGCCCGATGAGAGTGATATTTCTCGGCAACGCTACACTTCAATTGTGGGGAAAACTACAAGCCTGCGCTATGCTTCAAAACACGCGACTTGAAAACTGGCGCAATGCGCAATGTTGAGCTCATTCACGCCTATAAGCGCCACTGGCAAGCATTTTAGCTCCAGCCTGAGGTTTGTCGAGACTCAAGGTTAACGAGGACAATCTCGGCAAACTGTTGATGCATCTGGCACGATCTAGGATAGTCAGATTCTGGAGCCCTATCTGATATGGATTTGTCACATGGCTACCCACTTTTCAGTGCCTTTCGCCAATTGCGGAAAGCTCGTCACTTCATAGTGTTTCAAAACTCTCCCTCGCCCACATCGCCGCGGGTTGACCTGGTCGGCTGCGTAGTGAGCAATTTGTATTGTTTGTCTCAGCATATCGGTGCTTTGCACAATCATATGGCAGGTAGGCCTTGTATCAATGCTAAGCCCATTCAAAGTTGATGATAAAACACGCCCTGGCGCAGGAGCTCCTATCGGATTTCCTCCAGAAATCTGTGACCAGATTGTTGACTGCCTACAAGGCGATGGTCCCACTCTGGCTGCGTGCGGTCTTGCAGGCCGCATTCTTTGCCATAGAAGTCGCTTCAACCTGTTCAGATTAGTTGCCCTACGAGAGGCGGCTATGTACGCTCTATTCCTGAGCATATTAGACCGGTCCCCGCGGATTGCAAACTACGTAACCTACTTGCACCTTACAAAGCCGGCTCCAAACGACGTCTCGGCACCTGTGAACTTGGAAGGTGGCCTGCTCCGCATTGTCGCAAAGTGTTACAAGGTCACGGCCCTGGTTCTCTCGGAGTGGAACTCTTCCGATTTCGTGCCCGACGCACACATTCAAATGTGGAGTTTCCCTGATATCAAGTTCCTCTTTTTGATAGGCATTGAGATCGATGAGGCAAGCTTCTTCCAGCTCCTTCATATCGTACCAACTCTAACGCGCCTACATATCCTTCTACCTGCTGGAAGTCCTCCCTATCCCCGGACGTCACATCACTCGGCTGTCAGTGGCTCAGGCTGACCGATACCATGAGCTACACGACATGACCTTCCAGCACGGCGTTTCCTCTTCGCGTATTGTTCCGATACTTGCCAGGTGCTCTCTGCGGCTGCGTCCACGAAAACTTCAGCTTGTGTTCGACACGGGTACTGAAGGCTCCCTCGCAAATGTAGTGGATCTTCTCCGCGAAGCTGGCCCGTCGCTGGAGCGCCTAGACATGTTCGTGATGCAGCGCCGGACGCTCGAATTCTTCGAGCCGGGCACGTTGCTTGCTAGTAATACCGGACTTCGCGTCCTGCATATGAGGGATTCTGCCATAAGAGTCCCGCATGCCGAAGGGGAAGAGGCCTCATTCTTGTCGCGAATCATACCTTTGCACTGGATGGCCCGTACAATCGCGCTCACCGTGCGCATACTCGGGACCTCATCGGACTGGCTCGACACCGCTGCGGACTCATTGCAGCTGGACTGGTCGGTGTTGGATGCCGAGCTGGCGCGCGCGGCCGACTATCATCCAGGCGTGGAGATCGGCATATCCGCCCGCTATCCAGAAGACCTGGATGAGTGGGCGGATGTCATGGAAAAGGTCGTCTTGATGCGCCTTCCCCTTATGCGCCAGAAGAGATGCCGCTTGCGTGTTACTTGTTTTCGAGACTGGGCCGTCTTCGATGAAGGACTAGGGGGGTATGCCGCTGGCCCATGCCATACCACATGGCATGAATGTCCTTTGGCCGCACAGATGAATCCTCCAGTGGTCCAGGTGGTGCGTATTCCTATATGTACCAGTCCATTTCTTAGTTCACTATTTATGCAGAGCCTGAAGAAGATCGCTTGTGATGAGCTGGGATATCTGGTGTTATACTAAGAAGACAAGAGTGAAGAACAAATTGCATTCTGGATTAGTATTGGCTAGCTGTGTTTTGGAACTGCTACCCAGCATCACGGGGTGACATGGCTAGGTTTTAGCTTTGAAATGCCAACTGAAGACTGAGGAAATGACCCCAGTCTTCAGTTAGCATTTCGAGGCTAAATGTAAGCCTAGGCTTACTCCTACTTTCGGACGCCAAACTGCATACTGACATCATGTATTTGGAAAGCTGTCAGTCTGTTTGTTGCTGCTGGGTGTCTTCGCGCGCATGCGTCGACAACGAACTCACTCTCTCCTTTCTTCCAAACCACCACCTACATCTCAACCCCATATTGTCTTCTCGCAATACTAGTGTACACAAAATTGAAACCCCCATATTTTTGCTCTGTTCTCTTCCAGTCTGAATACAGCCGAGTGTAACCTGCCATCGTCTGCGGTAGGTTTCCACTAAAACCTAGCCATGTCATTAACTGAAGACTGATGAAATGATCTCAGTCTCAGCCTGCTCTTATATTGTACAAACTGCATGATAAACTACATATTACATGAATGCATAGTACAGAACATATCTGTGAAGAGAAAACCTATCTGCGACATAGGTAAGGTCTGAGATAGTCCTGAAAAACATATGCCATGTATGGTAACTAAAGTAAATATAGGGTTCCATGATCCAGGAATGCGTCCAAAATGAAAGAACCATAACACGGGGCCGGCGCTGGACCATCAGCAAAACCAGATCCATCCTGCAATCTATTACATGATGACACAATCAATGTAATTGAGCACCATAATTGTACATGAGAGATATGCGATTATCGAGGCGAGTCCGCTTTGGCAATTTCCCAATCCATTGCAATAGGTGCAATATTGGTGGCTGTTGGCAAGATGTACTTTTCTTGCATCACCTGCCATGAATGTACCACCATTATATTCCTACATGATATTATAATGTTCTGCTTCAATGGTGAATGTCGATTGCCTGAACAGGCTTCATTACTCTCGCCTGGTCACGGTTCCCTGGCCCCCGGGGTCCTCACAAATAAATTGTGGCAGAAACATTACAAATCATGTTTATTTTCTCATAATTATATAGGTACTAACTACTATTACAGGTGCACCAGTCTACAGGTTCTCGCCTGATCCAGCCACCTGATCCTGTAGACGTCGAGCTGCAAGCTGGGCTCCTGAGGCTGGCCGCTGGCGCTACCGCCGTCTCAATGTTCTGCCTCAATGTGACATCAGCAGGACGTTGAAGTCGCAGAGAGTATGAAACTTACTTGTATTACCACTCAAGCAGTTTGGCTTTGTGTTGAGTTATGCAAATTGGCAACCTGTAAATCACACTATATGCATGCAAGATTATAAGCATAATGAGACACAGCCAGAAAATGGGATCTGAAAAGGCTGTAACTTACCAACTTAAAAAGCAGAATTGAATAGGATATTTGAGGTCTTCAGGCTGGCGAGGACTGTACTGTACTCAGATGTGCTCAGATGTGCTCTCTTATCTGCAGTTGGCAAAGGAAATTTCACATAGCATGTGTCTGGCTCACCAATAATCATGAGCCTCACCATTCGGCAACTCACTGAATATAGCCGCTGACAGACAAACCAGCTGAAAGCAAAATACAATTTTGCCTTGTATCCAGACCCACCGTATCCACGCCCCGCCACTGCGAAATGGGGTATGAATACTGTGGGTCTGGGTGCGAGACAAATACCATATGGCTGCGTGCGTGATGGGCGTAGTCATTGTATCATTGTAACAGTTAAGATCCGGCCAGCGACTCATCATTCTAACGGTCCAACGGCACACTGAAAGACTCACCTCGTACTCTACACTACATTTCCTCAAGTCACAGCTATGAAGACATTAGTGTATTTAGCACACCTAGCAGACTGCACCCCATGCGAGTCTGTTAATGCCGGCGCTAGCGCTCATGGCTCGGACATCTAGACGACGACATAGACTTAAACAAGCTCAGACCCTGAGGATGACAAGGAGTCAGGACACAGAGGACGAAACAATGCACTAGATATGCTAATGTAATGACTTTTGAAGCCTGATTCTCTGTATGATCGGTCAAGCGCACTCTTACATCACATCCATTGTTGCATTTGTCAGCATGCAGTGTCGGAATCCATACGATACGCAACGTGATTGGAATTAGAATATTTATATCGCTTTATTTAAGATACATACCAAGCCTTAGCACACTATCACAATATCTGGGCATTCATACAATCAAGTAAAATTATGATGACGTGTCTGCAATCGATTATCAGACGCATACCATTCTGGCTCTAAGTTGCACACACATTGCCTGAATGTTGACTACTTCATAATCATGTCCCATAATTAGACAGGCGTGTAATTACATATCAGCAAATAACAAGCATGGACAATCATGATGATTACCCATAACTAATATATTGTATTACACGCCAAACCTGGTTTTGCTGATGATGGCAGCGAATTGTTGTGTTTTTGCGTATCCTGCCTTGCTTAGCTACTAACATTTTCCGAATTCCTGTCGCGACTTGAGGTCAAGTGACTGTGGAAAACCTAAAAGCTGGGGGCGTCCGACTGATTCTTACCGAAGCGATGGTGAGCGATGCTCAAACCTAAGGCTAGGGACAAGATAATATATTAGTTAGGTAAGGAAAAAGGAATACAACTGAAGGCTTACTGACCTAGGGACAAGAGGTCGAAACTGAGGTCCCTAGGGCAGCAGAGGCCGGCTTATATACAGGGGAGGTTTAGGGGAGGCTGCGCGCACTGGTCCGTGCGCAGCTGGTCTGTGCGCAGCATGCTGACGCAGCCCCGGGGGCCGGTGAGTCAGAGAGGCTGTGTCAGCGGAGCCTGAGCTGTGCCGTGCACTGCCATCCCATCTAATCTAATCGTACAGTAGATAGCGATGCATCCATATCGGGCATGTAGTACAGAGGTCGCGGGTTCGAGCCCGCGAAAAGGAAAAAATTAAAAGATGGCTAGACGCCGTACCAACTCGTGACATTACCCCCTCCTCAACGGCGCATGACCTCATGCGAGGTGCCCTTGCCCATCTCCCACCCTGAGCGGCAGCGTGCTTCAGTCAGCGGCGAAGGTATTGGCTGAAAGTTGAGACCACCAAAGATAGCAGCATTGAGGCGACGAGGGGCGTTCGGGTTCTTCCGGTGGAAGTCGGCTATGAGGGCCGGCACATTCGCAACGTTGCGCGCCGGTTCCCATGACGTATGCGAGTCATCATAACCCTTCCACTTGACGAGGTACTGCAGCTGACGCTGGAAGATCCTTGAATCTTTGATCCGCTCAACCTCGTACTCCTCGTCGCCCTCGACCTCGATCGCAGGCGGCTCCTCTGGCTCCCGGCCCGGGATATCACTACGCGTGTACTTGCTGAGCAAGGAGACATGAAATACTGGGTGCACCGGCACCGATTTCGGCAGGACTAATTCATAATCCAAGTCTCCGAGCTTTCGCCGCACGGCATAAGGTCCGAGGTGCTTGGGACTGAGCTTCTTGCTCGGCTGTTTCAGCTTAAGGTTCCGGGCGTCAAGCCAAACCTTGTCCCCCGGCGCGAAGACCGGTGCCTCCTGCACGTGCTTGTCGTAGTACACTTTCATGCGCTGATACGACCTACGAAACCCTAACCCCTAACCTGGGTGCGACCTAAAGGGACTAGAGAGACGGATTATAGTCTAGTGAGAGGGGAGTTAGCAGCAAGGTGTCCCGCGTTTCGAGTGAACACGAGAAACGTTCTTGGAAAAGGCTACGAACACTAGGGAAGGTACGAGGTGGCTTCGACACATCGTCGAAGCTACTCGGAGGCTGTGGAAAGTTAGCGATGATCGAAGCTCGGCAGAGCTCTTCGATGTATCGTAGAGAGAAGGGACACGATTCGATAGGGGGGGACTTAGCTAGGACGCAGTTCGCAGTTTCTTCGACAATAGTCGAAGTCGAAGGGTTCGTCGAGACGGTATCGACGAGTAAACGCAGTGGACGAGGTTTCGAGGTTACGCAGCGAGGGACGAAGTGACGCAGTTGAAGGCTTAGACGCGGGGCGAACTCGACTTATGAGCTCTGAACTCGAGGGGGGAACCGGATCTTGTGTTTTTAGAGAGAAGTACGACAG